AGCAGCCACAAGCTTACTTAATTGTAAAGGAGCAATACACTGTAGCAATTCAGAGGTAGATTCTTGAGCCAGGCAGTGTAAAAATCCCAGCTCTACTGCATACTAGCTGTGCAGCCAGACTAGTTCTGGATAAAAATCTTTATACCATATATTTATTGAAATAGAGAGGAAGGGCATTTGACATAATAAAGTTCATAATAGATGAAATTCAAGTTATTCTTTCATCTGCAGAAGGGAGCCCAGCTGTTTAATTTTTTAATACAAGAACATTAGGCATACGCTGCTGGTGACTGCACAGAGGGGTGACACAGCCAGCCAGGGATGGGGAGCTACACTGGGCGGAATGCAGGCCTGCCACTTCTGAAAAAGTCATCCAGACCTGACAGCTGACTTCAGCAGCTTCCACCAACACTTTAAAAATAATCTTGAGTGTTTCCCCTCAGCACTGGGCATTCTCAGAAGGCTGCCACGTGCACTCAGAGAAGACATAGCAGGAAAAGGCATGGGTCTGGGAGGAAGTGAGAGAGGTGGTTCTGAAACTGCTTACACACAGAGTATATAAAATAACTTGTTTTCTCTCTAATGAGAATAAACTAGGTTTCCAAATGATCTCATTGCCATTTAAGATGCATTACCAGGACAGAGAATGTTTGACATACCTATTAAAGTGAAAGAAATTGCCCAATGCCATGTCAGCATCAACGTGGGATCAGCACGTGAGAATAATCCTTTTCATTAAATTGGGCAGCTCGTACAAGAAATCATTCCTCAGACAGTCATGCTGAGAATCCCTAACTATATTGAGAGAGATAACTCCACTGGAATTGTGTCTTCAATCCTTTTTATATGAAAGGGAGGAAGAGAGAGGGAAGAAAAGGCAAAAAGGAGGGAGGGAGGGAGAAAAAGAAAAAAGAAAAGAAAATTTACAGGCAAGTGTAAGTTGAAGAAAAAGAAGGCTGCTAAGTTCAGGTTCTGATTCACGAACATTAAGAAAAATCAGGACCCCCTTCTAAAGAAAGTGCAATGTCTAAGGAAATTTCAGCTGTTGTAGCCTTACCGATGCAATTTGGTCAGCACCACCCTTTAAACTAAGACACAGTACAAAGGAAAATGACTGGTCCAAATTACAATTCTGAGACTAAACTATAAACTCAGAAATATGCCATTTTTATATACTTTAATATTGCATATTCAAACTTGAGGTTTGAAAAGTGTGGGTTGGATTTGGTTCCCAGTACACTTGAGACAGCAAGATAAGCCACATTTCTGCATATGGAGGGAGGAGTTTGAGGCTTGTCTCAGTTACACTGGTTTAAAACCGAAATGCAAGACAAGTTGGTGCGGTACGCGAAGAAAAAGAAGAGAATAAATCTTACATTTAAAATAAGAGAAAGTCACTCAAAATGTGTTGACTTACTTGAGTGTTGATGAAACTTTCTAGACCCTCAAGAATGGAAAGCAGTTAGGTTGATTTTTACATAAACTCAGGATTCTACAGTTCAAGAATACACACAGAACAAGAAAGAAATTCATATTTTCAATTTATCTTGTGGTGACAGCCAGATTTTAACTAACTAGTATAATGGTAAATGAATAATAATCCCAAGTGATATCTTTTGTGTTGCTCGAAAGATATGTTTTTAGTTTAACCAAAAATGATGACTTTTTAAAATTAAATGAGTTTTCCTTGTGAGTAAAGGATATGGGCTTGGACTCAGATAATGGGGTAGGAAGCGCTGAGCCTCTCGGGAGGTGGGCAGCCTACTCTACAGCTTCAGGGAGGCCCCTCCGCTTTTGCTTGTACTCCCCTACAGGCTGATACGTAAAATGGTCTTCTTTTGGCTTACAGCTTTACTTATTTTAAATATTTAAATGCCTCTAGAAAGGGAAATTCTTATTGATGTCCTTGAAAGGAAAATTGCACATATGCGACCTTCATCTTCCCCTTTGATGGCAGCTGTTGGAAATTGACCTCAGATTTCTTGCCCAGTGTGCCCAGTTCCAAGAACCTTCTCTTCAGCCTAGCTGTCCAGGAAGCCACTCTGCATCAATTAGACTTTAACAAGCGAGTTGACGCCTACTTGACACTCCTAGTTTGTATCTTATGTGAATGAGTTTACTGAACCTTCGAATCTGAGCAAATTTTAGAGTGAGAAAGGAAAGGAAGTATAAGGTTTCTTTATTTGAGGGGAAGACTAAGATGGTACCACCAAGGGTTTATAAACTTTGCCTGTAACTTTTTACAGAGGCAGACACACATATACATGTGCAGAGTATCTGCTACTAAGTTCCACATGCCTCTATTAGCACTTTATGTTTGTTATGGCATTTTTTCCTTCACAGTAGCTTTGGGGGAAAGAAGGAGGGGGAGAGACAAAGAGAGAGAGAGAGAGAGAGAGGGATCTCAATGTCAATGGTACAGTGGAGGAAACTGAGCCTCCATGATGTTAAAATGACCTGTCCAAGGTGGAAGAACCAGTAAGGACTGAGCTACAACATCGAGTTCCTATCTTTCCAGTATACTTTGCAATTTTATACATTGTTTCCAGAGTTATATAGAATTAGATCAGGATGTGTGGCTTAAGAATCTCCTCAAGGTAACCTGTATTTTCAGGGCCATGCGCCTTAGCAACAAAATTCAATATTAATTTGAGTGGACTAGGAATTGAAACTTCTATTTGTTTAACCTTCGTTATTTCTACCTGATGAACAATAATGCAATTCCTTGGAGAGGATGTAAAATCAAGATATTTTTCCCAGTATGGATCATATTTATCTAAATTTTTCTTAAACGTTTTCTTCTGTGATATTTGACTATTTGTGTTCAAGATTAAATTTTACAATTTCATTGCACATATTCTTCTGGTAAAATTAAATAAAATGCTTTGAGGGGAGATATTTTGTGATACACATAAATAACCCATACTGAAAAGAAATGACATTATTGAGGATGGCATAATCAATGATTTTTAGTAAGTTCTAGGTGTGAATTTCAGTAGCCTTACCGATGCAATTTGGTCAGCACCACCCTTTCCAAAGTGAGCTAACCGGCCATCCCTATATAGGGATCCAAACCTGTGGCCTTGGTGTTATCAGCACCACACTCTCCCAAGTGAGCCATGGGCCAGCCCTCAGATGCAATTTTGAAGTTATTGATTAGAGCAAGAGTTTTACCTGACCTTTTATATATAACAGACATAGAATTGATAATGTATTCGATCGTCACTGTATATATATATTCCTAATAAATACGGGGCCATTCTTCTTTTTTTATTTTATTTTATTTTTTGCTGGCTGGTACAGGGATCAAACCCCCGACCTTAGTGTTATTAGCACCATCATATAACCAACTGAGCTAACTGGCCAGCTTTCCATTTTACTTTTAATTTCAGTTGACCTCATGAGGGACAGTTTCAACATTCATTTGAAATCAGGAATAACAAATCTATTTGTATAGTGATTCTTCTATTTGTATAGTAAGTATTTATTGAGCATTTACTATAAGCCAACATTATTCTGCAGTCCTAGTTAGAATGCTGAAAAACTGACAACCAATGGTTGCTTGGTGTTGAGAAAGCCTTCCATGTCCTCTAGTCCACCCTCCTTGCACAGCCACAGTCTGTTCTGCAGTGTCCCTGACATAATCCACTGCAGCTCAAATGAGTCCTCTAATGCTCTCATGAATAATTACGCTTCTGTACCACTTAATAGGTACCAGGCCTGCTGTTGAGCACTTTACAGTAATCCATGTAATCCTGTCTACAACCCTATAAGGTAGAACTCCATTTTGTAGAACAGAAATTTGAGGCACAAAGAAGTTAAGAAACATGACCAAGATCCATAGCCAGTGAGTAGTTGAGCTAGGCTTTGAGCCTAGGCAGTCCTGCTCTGCATCAGCGTATTTAACCCGCAGTCAGGTGTCTGAGCTAGAAGCTCTTGTAGTCCAAGCAGAGCAAGTGAGTGTCTGAACAGAGGGGTGCAGTGTGAGTGAAGAGAAAGGGGCAGATCTGACAAACCCTCCACAGAGTAAACCAGGTCAGATGTGAGCTTGTATATAGATGATGAGCAGAAGAGACAGGCCAAAGATCCTCAGCTTTAAGGACTGAAGAAATGATGGTATACCCCTGGCCAATGGGGTATTCGAGACGGGAAACAGTTTAGGGGAAAGTCAGGAGCTCAGCCTTGACCCATTTCATCTAAGGTGATGGGGTCAACTTCAAGTTAATTGGTATGACACACAGATGTGACAAAAGGGCAAAACCGACAGCATGGCCTGGTGGACAAGCACAGGATGTGGGATGCAAAGAGGCAAATGCAAGCTTTGTGCCAATATTAGTGCTCCTGGGACTCTGTGCAAGGTGCTTCACTTTTCTGAGCCTCCACCTTTTTTCCTGCGATTAGTTTTCTCTCATTATTACTATGAGAAAGTTCAGGTTAAAGTGACAAGCCAAGGATGAGAAACGTAATTAAAGGCAGAATCAAGATTATATGCCTAAATGACTTATTTTTTAGAAAGTATTAATCTGAACAATATCTATTTGTGAGGAAAGGAATAATCGCACTATTTGAGCCAGAGCTAGGATGACCATACCATATGATCCAAACCAGGAGAGTGAAAGTGGGTACTACTAATAATAGACCAGAACAACAGGCATTCATAGCCACCAGAAGAAGTACTTCTGGAATATTCATGGTAAGAAACCTTAGCTTGTGGTTTGCAATTCTGAATGGAAATAATCCTGGGTGGAAGGAGTTGTATTCAGGACATGATTTCCAGCTGGGTTCCTTCCTTACAGACTGTGTCTGAGGACCAGTTCCCCTCCTACCTTTTCCTCAGCCCCATTCTCCACCCCCCTACTCTCCCTTGGCCCATGCACGACATTCCAGCCACTGTAATCATTCCATTGTTCAGAAGAAAAAGGAGTGACCTCACGGTGTTAATACATCTGGTGTCATCTCCACTGTGTCATGTTCGCTCATTTCTGACTGCTGCCTTGTAGTTGCTCCGCTCTGCTGCTGACTGGTCTGCTGGTATAAAGTACCATGAAGAGTCCATCCATGCTGCTTACGTCCACGTGATTGAGAACAGCAAGCACTACATCTATATCGAAGTAAGTCCTGCTTGTGTTAATTAATGTGAGAAACTGCCTTCCCATAAGTATCACAGAGACGGCAGGGTCCCCATCCTCAGGGCCTGCCATATTAATAAGTGTATGTCAAGATGTGAAGAGTGCTGGAGAAGTGTTGACTCATATCACCTGAATTTTCACCTCCCAGCATACCTGAAATTTGTTCTGCATTGTGATTAACTCAAGTCTCTAATGAGACTATCAAATTCTTTCTATTAAAATGCATCAACTCCCTGTAATGTTATTAGCCAGAAATTCCCCAACATGAATGTGCTAAGTTTGGTTCGACTTGGGTTGTAGGGTTTAAGTGTGAGGTACGTGCTATTTCAGGAGAGCACACACGGGGGTAACTTGCTCAGTAGAGACCACTGGATGCCACTGATTTGGATGTTGAAGTAGGGAGAGTACAGGGAAAAGAATATGGAAAAGAAAGATGCAAGAATATTAAAGGCTGGTTTGCTATTTCAGGAGAGCACACACGGGGGTAACTTGCTCAGTAGAGACCACTGGATGCCACTGGTTTGGATGTTGAAGTAGGGAGAGTACAGGGAAAAGAATATGGAAAAGAAAGATGCAAGAATATTAAAGGCTGGTACCATGCTTTTCAGTCCTATCTGAAGTACTATTCATTACCATGCTTTTTTGGATCCCAGAGTTTGTGTTCAGAGTACAGGAGAAAAATCTGGGGACACTGAGTTTAGTTTGGGAACTTTAATTACACTCCAAAGTGAATATAAAAATAGTTCAGAGTACTTGAAAACCCTGAGAAAATAAAAACTCATGATAATGGAAAAAATAAATCAGAGTGTATCTTTTTTTCCAAGTAATCCAATTCTTTCTTTCTAGTCTATAGTCTAGTCTTTTATTTCCCATTAATTTTTTTTTTAAAGTGTATAACAGGATATGGGTTATTGATGGAAAACCATTCTACTTTATTTTCCTTCCCCACAAGTCCTGTTCCTCTCCCGCTTCATGCAGTGACAATTCAAAGGCAAGCAGGGAAGAATTGAAGTGCTGCTTATTTCACAGGCCTGAAAAAAGAAAAAGCTAATTAAAAATATTAGCAGTCTGAATGCAATGTGGTATCCTGGGTGGGATCATGCAATAGATAAAGGACGTTAGTGGAAAAATTAGTGAATTCTACATAGAGTTAGGAGCTTAGTAATAGTATTAGTATTATTAAAATCAGCAATTATACCACAGTAATGTGAGATATTAAGCCTGGCTCATCATTACCCAGAATAATTTTGCTGCATCTCTTTTTGTAGCATTAATATCAGCTTTTCTTTTTCATGCTACTATAATATTAAATGAGGTCAGTAATGCCATATAGGTACACGTGCTTGTGGACATAGACCTGGGGGATGCTCCTCCAACTGAGGTAAGTGGTCAGCATTCACCCCCCTCTTCCGAAAGGGGAAGTAAAGGATATAACGTGTAGCCAGTGTGACAGTGGACATGGCAGCTGCTGAGGAATGCTAAGCTTTTTTGTCATATGAATTCGGAAAAACAAACATGGTTTGGTTGCCGCTGAGATTTTGTCTGTCTGATGCTCTAAGGGAACCACATTCTCAAATGAGTTTCTGCACGTCTTCTGTAAGTTTGTCTTCTGGAGGCATTTTACATATTTACACACTTATGTGTAAAAACTTGTATAGTCATAAAAATGATAATGCTGCAAAGTGATGATAATTATATTCTGAATCATTGCTTATATATCTCTATACCATAAGATGATTAGCAAATATTACCTTGTGATGATTGTCCTTATAAATTACAGATGTATTGTAACAATCTATATTCTATTTGAATACATAACACTCATAATGTTTGTACCTAATTTTAAAAATTCTTTTATGCAGCAACAGTATCTTTTACACGTTATCATAATAATGTCATACCCGATTTTCTAATAACAGTGTTAAAGAATGTTTTATGGATATGTGAATAGCAGAAGTACTCAGAAAAAAAGAAACAAAAATATTTCTTTTTCCATTTTATTGGTTTATTTTTATACATGCAACAGACTTACAAAAAAAATTTAAGCATACTTAAAATAGATGTTCAGGGATAACAAGAAACCCCCCAAAAATGAAAAGATAAAAGTAGATACTAGTAAATAATGGTGAAAGGGTAGAGAAAATTAGACCAGGCTTCTGCCATCTACCTTGTTAGAAAAGTAAACTTAGCATGTGATAGAATGTTTGCCAGTGTAGAATTTTTAATTATAAGCATTTACACAAAGTGTGAATCTGAAAAGAAAACCAAACTAATTTTACTATTCATTAAGTTTGGAATGTTCCCAGCATTCTAAGAATGTAATTTAGAAAATCACCTGCAAGGAATTCACAGTGAAATAGTAATGTAGCTTTCCTCTTGACCGAGATGTTGTAAGTGACATGACCCAGTAACGCATGAGACCCAGAGTGAGATGTGGCTTATTTTATTCTGTGTCATTTACTTTCCTGATGTGATTTCAGTGATCAGAACAGAACTGCTGTGTGGAACTTTTTTTTTTAAGATATCAGTGTAATTTTTATTATTTACCACATTTTCCTTATATATACTACTAAAAAAAGAAAAAAATTACATGATTGTCCTATTAATTTCTCACAGAACCAGTTTTTCATAAGCTGCACTGGTGACAAAGTTGTGTACAACAAGGTGGGTGACACCATTACACAGAGGATCCTGAAAGCTCACAGGTAACGTTTTTGGCATTTTGGTAGGAATTGCTGCTGCAGACATTCTTGTGTTTACTATTAGAACGACTTTTAAAAGCCCATTTTTAAAGTGCTGTCATTTTCTAGCAGGTTTGAATTTGGTTCAGCCAGCAGTAGGTTATTAATTCCTTTAATCTGTCAGTTGCCAAGAATTTTTGAGTACGTTTTTGAGGGAATCTGAATTCTACCACGGCACAATCATTTTTTCCTGGCCAGTCTCTTTCCCATGCATGAGGTTTGTGATTTGTTTATTTAATGGTAGACAGTGAGCTGTGTTTATTTAAAAAAACAAAATATACATAATGTTTTGCCATGGGTTATTTTTAAATTCTTGTTACCATCTGTCTTATTTCTTCAGCTCATGGGATTATTTCTTTAATAGCAGTTTTACTGAGATAGAATTCATATACTGTACGATTCACCCACTTAAACTGCACAATTCAGTGATTTTTTGTATATGCACAGAGCTGTGCAACCAACATCTACTCAATTTTAGAACATTTTCATAACCTGAGGAAGAAACCCCATACCCACGAGCAGTCATTACCCATTCCCTTCTCTTAGCCCCTGGTAACTGCTAATCTGCTTTCTTTTTTTATAGATATGCCTAGTCTGGGCATTTCATATAAATGGAATCATGCAATATGTAGGTTTTTATGACTGATTTCTTTCACTTAGCATACTGTTCTCAAAGTTCATCTTATTATAGCATGTATCAGTATTTCATTTCTTTTTAGTGCCATATAATATTCCATTACATGGACATATCACATGTCATTTATCCATGCGTTGGTTGTTGTACATTTGGGTTGTTTTCACTTTTCAGCTATTATGAATAATGCTGCTATATACATTCTTATAGCATGTATCAGTATTTCATTTCTTTTTAGTGCCATATAATATTCCATTACATGGACAAATCACATGTCATTTATCCATGCGTTGGTTGTTGTACATTTGGGTTGTTTTCACTTTTCAGCTATTATGAATAATGCTGCTATGTACATTTCATGTTAGTTTTTGGGCAGACATATGTTTTCATTTTTCTAGGGGTGGAATTGCTGGGTCATATGGTAACACTATGTTTAAAGTTTTGTGGAATTGCCAGACTGTCTTCCAAAGCAGTTATACCATTTTACATTCCCAGAGTGTATGATAGATCCAATTTCTCGTATTATCACCGATAAAGAAGATTATCTCTCCCTTTGAATATAGTCCTCCTAATAGGTGTGAAATAATGTCTCATTGTGGTTTCGATTTGAATTTCCCTAATGACTAATAATATTGAGCATTTTTTTGTGTGTACTTACTGTCATTCATGTATTATCTATGGAGAAATGTCTATTCAAATCTCTTACTCATTTTTTTCATTGGATTATCTGACTTTTTATTGTTGAGTTGCAAGAGTTTGTTTTATATTTTTGACACGAGTTCTATATGAAATATATGATTTGCAAGTATTTTCTCCCATTCAGTGGGTTGTCTTTTTACTTTCTTGATGGTGTCCTTTGAAACACAAAAGTTTTTAATTTTGACAAAGTTCAATTTATCTTTTTTGGTTTTTATCCACTGCCTGATCCAGGATCATGAAGAGTTATACCTGTTTTCTTTTAATAATCTTATATTTTAGCTCTTCTACTTAGGTCTTCGATTCATTTTGACGTATATTTATTTATGGTATGAGTTAGGCACCCAGCTTCATTCATCGCATGTGGATATAGAGTTGTCCTCTCACCATCTGTTAAAGACTGTTCTTTCCCCCACGGAAATGTCTTGGCATGTGGGACTATTTTTTTATGGCTGATTTCAGCTGTCTATAAAAGTAGCAAAATAAACAAACAAACAAAACCATTATATTTTATTTTGAATCTTTGAATACATGCAGTGAAGAATGTTAAGTACACATACATTTGGGAATTAAAACATTTTTCTGACTTCCAGTGTCATGTGGTATTTTGATATCTTTCACATAATATGTGGGGATTTGGGGACTTAAGGACATTTTATAACAGTAATTATCAGCAATTTGTATGATTCACAGTTTACATCTAAATTGTCTCACTGAATCTTTACAACTACTCTTGAGAATAGGTCATGTAGTCGTAGTTGTTGTTTCGTTGCTGTCCCCATTTTCAGAATTGGAAACTCAGATTCAAGCTGTTATGTGACTTGTCTAGGCCACTAATAGCAATAGGCAAAAACAACTTTGAGCCCAAGTCTTTGAACTTTCAACCCAGTGGCTTCCCCCACACCATGTAACTCTGATTCATTGATAGTTAGAATTAAAGACCCATTCAGGATTTCCCCAAGCTGAGGCAAGTGGGTTGGGCCTTTATAGTTCCCTCCCCCTGTCGACCAGTCATCAGATGCAGGCTGACCCCAGGGAGTGGAGATGACCTTGAGTGGGGTAGGTCTCTTGGGCCTGGAGAAAGATGTCACTATGAGTATGTGGTCAGTCACCAACACTCAGCAGCTGATGGGATGGCTGTCTCAATCCCATGGTGAGGGGACCTAGACAGCACACTATAGTTGATCTCACCTTGACTAGACATCAAAATCACCATTGGGCCTTTGCAGAACTTCAGGGAGCTTGCTCTACTCCAGGCTTACTGGGTCATAATTTCCTGGAATGGGGCTCAGGCACCTGTATTTTACCGTGCTCTAGATTTGACTCCAAGGCACAGCTAGGATTGCTTAGTATTCATTTAGAAAAGTACATATGGCCATGAATATTGATGGTGGCCTGCGCTATTACACGTGAACTTTATCCTTTTCCTTCTCATGTACTTTTTTAAGAAAGTCACCATAGGATCTGTTTCTGAGATGACTTAAAAACAGCCTTATTTACATTTAAACATTCATGTACACAGAGATTTCTTACATCCTTGCCTGTCTCCCAATTCTATGGGGTAATTTATGTCTAATTTACAAAATTGCATTTTATTGATGCAGGTGTATCTGCTTTATCTATAAAGCATATTTGCCAAAGAGAAAAATATTTTTTCATGAAATTGAAGTAAGTTGCATAAATGCATTAAGTTGACAAGTGAAGTGAGCTCATTGGGCTGAGCAGTGAATCATGAATTTTGGAACTGGGATCAGCTAATAAGTAGAGTTAAGATGAACCTCAACTTCACTTATCCAGTTATTAATTCCCTATATTACATGGTTTTAATAAGTACCTGTAAGATTTGTTTTTAAGTGTTTGGGAGCCCAAAAGAATATTTTTCTTTGTCATATTAATTTTTCTTTAAAAATGTGGACTTCTGGGCCGGCCTGGTGGCACACTGCTACAGTGCGCCGCTTGGGAAGTGCGGCAGCACTCCACCCGAGGGTTCGGATCCCACATACAGACCGGCCGCTCACTGGCTGAACGAGGTGCGGGGGCAACACCGAGGGTTGCGATCCCGTGGCCGGTCCCGGTCCGGTACGGGCGCGACACTGAGGGTTGCGATCCGTTGCCGGTCACGAAAAAAGACAAAAAAGGAAAAAAAATAAAAATAAAAAAATAAAAATGTGGACTTCTTAAATCATAAAATCAAAGCATTTTAGGGCTGGAAAAAGAACTTTAAGATATTTTCTTTTTTTTTTTTTTTTCCTTTTTGTCTTTTTTCGTGACCGGCAACGGATCGCAACCCTCAGTGTCGCGCCCGTACCGGACCGGGACCGGCCACGGGATCGCAACCCTCGGTGTTGCTCCCGCCCCTCGCTCAGCCAGTGAGCGGCCGGTCCGCATGCGGGATCCAAACCCTCGGTGGGAGCGCCACCGTGCTTCCCAAGCGGCGCACTATAGTAGTGCGCCACCAGGCCGGCCCTAAGATATTTTCTGATTGAACATTTTCCAGTTATCCTATGAGCTGCTCCTGAAAGGAAAAGGGATCTGTAATAAAAGAATATGGTAAGGGAGCATTTGTTGCAGATTGTATCTCATGCTTGGAGGTTCACAGAGCACATTAAAGACTCTGGCAATTGCAAGCTTACTTTGTAGAAAATGGGAAATGAGTCCATAGAATTTCAAATTTCCTGTGTGTCATTTAGCTCTGATCTCTCCATTGTCTCACTTCCTTTCACAGTCACATTTCAAAATGGTTTGTATATCACAGGTTTAGACTTTCAGTGGCTACACACATGCATCCTGAAAACATATTTTATGTTTTCTCCCTTCTCTGCATCTCCACATTATGGTTCATCTCCTATGTTAATTGCAACTGTAAAATATATTTCTCCTTAATTATTTGAAACCTATGAGCTTGTATTATTAGGCAAAGGAAGGCAGAATTACAAAGCTCACCTTGCAGGCTGACTGCAGTGGGGCACCTCCTTTTCACTAATTAGGGGCCATGGTGCCAACCCCCAGGTTGCCCTCTCTTCCTTCCTGGACGTCTCTGTTCTCTACTCTTCTGAGACTCGGAACGTCCCTGCCAAAGTCCCATTTTTAGTAACAAGTATAATATTGGCTGCTGGAAAAAGAGTGGAATACAGCACAAAACAGATGGAGTGAAATGACAGTCTGCCATCGGCCAGGCCTGACCAAAGAACACAGGCCCTCTTCCAGGTCCCTCCCACCCCAGGAGATCAGAGTCTTTAAATTGGCAGCTCCCTCAACCGGGTGAAGGCTTTATTTTTCTGCCAGTATTGGAATCCAGCCTCACACCAACTCCCCGAAGTGATTTCTCTGTTCCCCTGACTTCCTTCTGATTCCTTCTCAATAGCCATAATTCTTTGCAGAAACAGATTTTTGCAAAACCTTCATGTTCTGATCTGAGACTTAGAGCCTCAGACAAAGAAAAAGCTGCATTCAGAGCAGCTGGAAGAATCACTGCAGAAAACAAAATGTCTGCTCTGTAGTAAGTAAAACTGTCTCAGAGTTGAGACCAGTTCCCAACCCACTTGAGACCTGTCTTTGACAACTCAAATGTGCCTGGAGATCAGGGAGAGAACAGTCATAATCCACAGTCTAAAACTGACTGTTTTATATCGTG